TCTCTCTCTCTCTTTCTCTCTCTCTCTCTCTTAAATGATATGAATTCTTGATTTGTTTAATATTGTAAAGAATTTTATAACTTTTATTATAACTGGTATATAGCTGTCAGAGAGGCATACCATTAGACACTTGTATATAATGTACAGAATTTCATACAAGAATCGCAAACAATATATACCTTTGTATTGATAAACAATCAGATTCTATACAATAGTACTGATATTTAATACAATAGGTATTTACCTTGTTTACTAAGCATTTTCCATTACATATACAAGCCAAGTTATATATTTAATAAACAGGTTCATTATACAGGGTGTGTATTGTATAGCGAAATGTTTGCTCTCTATCTACTGTTCCTCTTATAATAAAACAGTTCTAAAGTTTACATAACTTTTTGTATTTAATACATAAAAATTTAAGTCATAAAATATATATAGAGTAATAGTATAGTAATAGTAATATATGACTAATAACGCCATGAATAAATCCCTGGATAATTATTGACATTTTTGCACACAAAACAATAATAGTCTAGTTGATCCCTAAAAATGATAACTTCGGTTGGACAAACACTAAGTCATCAAATAATCATTTATGAATTAATGTGTGCTAGTTAATTCAGTGTCATGTTTTGTGAATTAATTGCTTATTTATTAATGTTTTTCGGTATAAATATAGTGATTCATATGATTTTGGGAAAATAATTGTGTGTTTCATTCAATTTTGGTGTGAAGTTCAAGAATTGCTGTGTTTTATAGTAATATTAATAGTATTTGTGTTTTTAGTTGTAAAAAATATATATTACTATAATTATTTTATTGCAATGCAATGAATTTATAAATATTTCTACCGATAATTACAATGAACCTCATATACAGTGACCGGAATTACTTATTATGCAAAACTGTATGTGCCCGCTGTATGATTAATAAGTATATTTATTTATTAATTAATGGACATAATATTTTAGCATGTTAATCATAATTTATACATCCTAGTAACAATTAATAGTTTATTTTTATAAAGTACTAAAAGTTATACACTATTGAGAAACTAGGGTTCATTGTATAACATATTGTATACAATTTACTATTTATGGTGTGATATATAAGTTTTTTTTATAAACCAATTGTTATAATAGTAATAATATAATTAATCTTAACATTCAATGTCTGTTTTTTAACGCACATATAAAACAAAGTTCACGGAATCGCTTGCTTTATAATAATATAAAAATTGTGTTTTTCATAAGTTTTTCATTAAAACATAAGTTTTTATTTCATTTAACAAAAACTTTTTTGTTTTTTACTTACTTTTCTCATTAGTTTCGCGACAATCCCAGTGACAGATCGCACCGTTATTTCTGATGAAATTTATTAAACACTTCTGCAAACTATCCAACGATGAAAACAACCATGAATTCAGACGCCCGGGCCACCAGCCCTGGTAGGCCTGACGAGCACCGGGTGGTCAACATCGCGGACATACCCGATATGACCATCAATAACATTGCCGACAAGAATCTGATGTCTAATCCCATACCTAAAGACGTCGACAAACACCTCAACACTAGCCTTAACAACGAGTCCATCAATGATAGCAAAGAATATTCTGTGAATAATAGCCGCGAATATTCCGCGACTAATAATAACGTTCACAAAGTCTGTTACGACAACCCGGCGTTCATAGGGCTCAGCATAAACGGGCTGACACAGAGCACCGGTAGCCAATCGCCCACGCCATCACAGCCCACAAACATATCGATCATCATATCTAATACAGTGTTGAGTTCGAGCGATGAGAGCGCCGGTAGTCACCCGCCGGCTAATAAAGACCGTACGCACAGCCTATCGTCCGTACATAGTATTCGTAATGTGTTGACACCGGACAGGCGTTATTCGCGCCGGCAGTCTATAATACAGCGTAAGATCGACTCAAGTAGGGATCGGTCGGGCAGTGGAGGGCCGGGAGGTGTTAGTGAGGGTCCGGACGGTGATGATAATCCCCTGAGACGTAAGATGTCGTTCATTAAGGACACGTCGGGTGAGGAACCGCTGAATAGGGCTGTCATTCAGATACTCATTGCATCCCTTTTTGCCGGTATTTATGAGTTTTTTTGTGTTGGTTTTTATCAGGGTACAAATAGTACAGTATTTTATTTATAGCTAATTATTATTACCAAAGTAGTTTTTATATTTATGTAAAGACTTTTTAGATTTATAAATTATAGTTGGTTATTAAAGTTGTAATTACTAGGTAATAATACTTTTAGCTAGTTAATACGTCTACTGTACAGGGTTATAATAACTTATTATTAATAAGTGTAACATTGAGTTTATTAGTGTAATTGTTTTTGAATTATATTAATAGCTCATATATCTAATTAAATATAACTTTTGAGTACTAGGCTTATTCAGTAATTTTAGTTAAAATATTTAAACATATTTTAGCTAGGCAATTTTAAATAACAAATAAAATTTTTTTTATAATAATATTGTTTTTACTAGAAATAAACTATTATAGAAGCATGCAATAAATCAACAACCAAGTATATATTTAAACATAGATTGCTTATATTTTGTTTGGGGGAACGGCATGCAATAGGGTTCGGTAATGTGGGCGCCGGTGTCATCATCAACATCATCCAGACGTGGCGCGTATTCATCGACATTAAGACTATGTTTGTGTTGATCCCGTCCCTACTGGGGCTCAAAGGGAACCTCGAGATGACAATGGCCTCCCGTTTGTCCACCGAAGCAAACATGGGTCACATGACTAAGTGGAAAAAGACCCTGGGCATGATTGGCGGTGACATGGCCCTGGTGCAGTGTCAGGCTACTGTGGTATCATTTTTGGCGGCATTCGTAGCCATTGGTATAGACCTGGCTCGGACACAGCATTTTAATCTGGATCATTGTCTAGTATTGATATCCAGTAGTGTAGTCACCGCTAATGTGGCCTGTTTTCTATTGGGTATAATTTTTTTGTTACATACCTGTCCACTATTATTTAAAAACTTATTAATTTTAATTTAATTTCTACAAACTATTTAACCTATTTACTTTTACATAATTACTAATTAATATTTACACACAATGTTATACTAGGTTTGGTTATGGCTTTTGTCATTGTGTTTTCTAATAAGATTAACATTGACCCGGGTATGTGTAACTTGCTTCATAAATATAGATTAGTATAGAATCAATATTATAGATTGAAACTCATAGAATATTCTATAAAATTAACTATAATTACAGTAAAAGTATTATTGTATAGAATATTCTTAGAATGAGTAATATTTTTAGACTATTTTAACAAGCAACAAAATAAAACCATAAAAATAAAAACAAATTACTCATACCTCTCATTACCAACATAGACAACGTGGCCACACCTATAGCCGCATCCCTGGGCGACGTGTCCACCGCCGCGTTATTCGCCTATTTCTCGGAGCAAATCTACGCCGACATCGCCGACAGTGAGAGGGAGGGCTCGCGGACCCCCATACTCGCCATCGCAGGTATCGCCGTATTCCTAGTCCTACTGCCCGTGTTTTACGTGATAGCCCGGCGCAACTCGTTCACCCATAACCTGGTGCACACCGGGTGGACCCCGGTCATTACGGCTATGCTGATATCCAGTGGGGGAGGCTTCTTTTTGGACTCGGCGGTGGACAGGTATGACAAGTTGCCGCCCTTTCAGCCGGTTATTTGTGGAGTGGGAGGCAATTTGGTGGCCGTGGCGGCCAGTAAGCTAAGTACACGACTGCATATGAACTGGAAGTTAGGGTTATTGCCGTTTGGGGTCAGTAGGTATTCCGCGCCGTGGGCCGTGTTTTGGAATAAGCTAGGTACTTGTTTTGTTTTACGGTATATTTAGTGGTTTATTTTTAATGTGCGTTTGTTTTATGAGTTTGTAAAAATGTAATTATATTTTTTTATAGTGCTTGATACTTAATTGTTTGTATTATGTTTTTATTAAATAGTAGTGATTATAGCCTAAAATCTAATGTTCTAGTTACTATTAGTTAAGCGTTGTAGTTATATAGAAAGCATTTTGAAATTATTTGTTTTAAACATATAATAATTTTTTACATAATATTTTAACATTTATTTATTTATTTATTTACTAGACATAAACACCAGGCTGTGTTTAATGCTACTTTTAATGGCCATTCCGTTGCATTTATTGTATTCATTTGTCATATGGGGTATCCAGAGGGACAGGATTACACTAACAGCCCCTTTGATATTTTTCTACATATCATTCGCTACATTACAGGTATGGCCTAAATATTGTTACTTAACTTTATTCCCACTAATTTTAATAATTCCCACTAGTTTAATAATTAGTTAAAATAATTTAAACTAGTTACAATATTTAACAGTATTTTATAGATTTCATTGAATAAATTAAATTCATATGTATTAATATATAAATTATTGTTGCTATATGTTTATAATATATATAATTATAATTATAGCTAATATATAATTTGCATAATTAATGTTAAATAGTTTTATAAATTATTTTATTATTTGTGAAAAAGTTTTAACTTTTAATATTATGTTTTAATCATAAAATAGGTGTTTATATTGCTATTCATTGGCTATAATTTGGTGCACATATTGTGGTCGTACTCCATAAACCCGGACATGTCGGCCATACCTATACTGACAGCGCTGGGAGACCTACTCGGGTCGGCATTCCTATTGATAGCCTTCGGTATACTGCAGAGTCTATCGGATCCCAACGCTATGCTACCGGTGCTCACAGATAACGATACAAATACTACAATTGCAATGAATACCACGATATACCTGTCCCTCAATTCAACGCAATTGTAATACTAATGAATAGTTTAGTGATAAATAAATTATATATTTTTTGTAAATTAATTATTAATATATAATTGCCTTATATTTTAGTACAACTTAATAATAATAATACATATATTTTTGTTATTAACACAAGATTTTAATTGTTTTTAAAAATGTAATTAAGTTTTATTAATAAAATTGTTATTTAATAGTTTTAGATTTTAAATTCAAATGATATTAGTATACAGTATAAAATATTGTTATAAGTTATTATTTTTAATAATAAAATTTTTATTTAAAATAAAACGCAATATTTTTAATGTAAATTTACAATAATTATAATTAATATATTAAATATATTTTTACATTTATTAATCAGTTATAAAATGTACAATAGATTTTAATATTCACAAATATACTACCAATTAGAGTATAAACTGTATTCATTGTACTGTAACTATGATGTTGACAAAGTATACAATAGGCTGTACAGTATACAATGTATACATAATAAGTGCACATATATTCACACATTGCATACCTGTCCCATAACTATGGGCTCACAGTATGCTATTACTAACTAAAGTATACAATAACTAATTTATGTGCCAAGCTTTCACTATAATACATAATACCAGACTTTATATATGCGAAACATAACAATGTGCCCTTGGTTATGTCTTGAACAATTTTCTTATCTTTTCTAGTTGTTCATTGTGTGAGAAACAAAGTAAATTGTGCTAGAACATTTTTGTTATATTTTCTAGAAAGTTATACAATTCTTATAGATTACACTATTCATTGGCTATAATTTGGTGCACATATTGTGGTCGCACTCATAAACCCGGACATGTCGGCCATATCTATATTGACAGCACTGAAAGACCTATTCGTGTCGACATTCCTGTTGATAGCCTTTGATTATGATTTTGTAACTTTAATGAAATGTGTATTTTTATTTAAAAAATTGTCATTTTTAAATTAAATTGTCCTTGATAATGGAGTTTCAATTTCAATAGATTTTTAATTGTATTGAATTGTATTGTATTGTATTGAATAATTTGTTAAAACATCCGTTGGCATTTTTAAACCTATGAATCATAGTCTATGATATACTGTAATATATATAAATTTTATATTGTACCATTAAGCTAATTACACACAAAGTGAGAGCATATCATTGAAAATATATTTAATTTTTAATAATCTCTAGTATTAAAATATACAACAAATTAGTGCATAAAGGCTTAAAAGTTTAGAGTAGAGGGTCCTTTTTGTCACCAATTGTATAGCAATATAGTATAAAATTTACAGTATACAGTATGTAATAACAATTAACTGGTAATACTGTTTAGTAATTATTATACAATATTTCAAAACCCTACAATAGCTTAGTCTATAATCACATTCAGCGGGTGTCTAGCCAATTACTTCAATAGCCATAAGGGTTAATAGTTTTAATATTAATTAAAAATTTGGTGCCATCTGTTTTAATTTTAGTACAGTACAAATTTAATTTTAATTCCAGTACCACATTTTAATTGCAAAATTCCTTTGATAATAATTAATTTGAACAAATATAACGTTACAGATTTAATTGAAAACATGATTTATTTTTGAATATTAATTTTTACACATTAATAATAATAATGATTAATTTAAAAAAATTACTGTATCTTCCTTTCATAGATATCTCAAAATTATTGATTTTTTAGGATAAAATGTCAAATTTTAACAAATATGTGCTAGAATTTTAAAATATGTGGTTTAAATTATAACAATTGAAACCTGGAATATTTTGATAACCCAATACATTTAACCAAAACCTTAAAGTAATTTCTTAAGGTATCTTAAAAGTGTAAAATTCAAATCATATCTACATTTGAAGCACAATTTGATGATCAACTCAAAATATTTTATTTGTTTTATTTATCTCAACTCAATTCAAAGTTATAAACCTCTGTGCCAACCTATATCTTACTGATACAATTACCAGGGTAATCCTGATATACGTGTTCGATCATTTTTTATGATCTGTCCAACGGTTGCATTTGTAGTTTTTGTTGTAGTACAGAAAACCTACCTGTGCCACGTACCGATGCTCTAAATGATTTGTCTAATACATAATAGCAAAAACTATAATTATAATTATTTAGTATTTAGTTAAAATTAAAATGTTTTTATTTAGAATAACATAATTAACATAGATGATTAATTAACAATAACAGTAATTCAAATTGAATATAATTCAAAATTTAATATAATTCAAAATTTAATATATTTATTGTGCCAAGCTGATATATTGTGTCCCAATTAGGATATTCGCGACTATTATCACCCAAACCATACACTATGTCCTCATTTGTGGCAAACAATGATTGTGTCATTAAATAGACCTTCACTTTAAATACTGTCCCAAAACCTCCCGAACCAATGCCATGT